TGGCCGCTAAGGGCGACGCGACGGGGCCGCTAGGGAAGGCGCGACCCTAAGCGCGCTTCGGGCAGGGGCGAGACACGCCCCGGGCAGGAAAAAAAAGTCGGTGGGCCCTAGGAACAGTTCCCACTAGGGAACCTGCTCAATACCATGAGAAAAGAGAACGAGAATGAAATGACTAAGGGAAAGTTGGGTACAAGTACAAACCCCAGAAAGCTGTACCCCATATGTGCTACCCCACTATAACCTACAGTAGCTATGTCATATAAATCTGACATCTGACACTCCGCTGTATACCCTCAGCGTGCATTCCTCCGGGGTCCCTCGACTAAGCATCAGCACCATGGACTGCCAGGTCTTGGGCATCCACTTCGCTTCCCTGCGGTCTGCGGTCATCAGCAGGTATCGTTCTGCTATCAGTCGCCCTGGCTTGTGCAGCTGTAACTTCTCCGCCAACCGCCTCACGATAAGCACATGCGCTGCCTCAGTATCCAGAATCGCCCGTTGAGCTTTTAACCCCCCAACTGTGATCGCCCCTGGTTCAATCGTTTGGACCGTAGCTTGACAGATCATTCATTCTTGCGGGTGCCGATATACTGCCCCTTCCGCCTCCACACTCTCGCTGGTCTCCTCCTCGGCCCGTCTTCCCGCCGTTCATCCTCCCGAAACAGCTGTCTTTGCGCAGCTCCCCTCAAGCCCAATTCTTCCCGATCTCGGGCTAGCTGGGCCATCAACATGAATTCCGGCTCATTCGGCTCTTCCTCCTCCTGCGCCACCATTTCGGGTTGCTTCTGTTCTGCTGCCTCTGGATCCGCTAGCTGCGCCCGCAGGCACGCCATGGTGGCCTGCCTATCCTCTCCTCCTTCTGTCCCCCGTCGCTCCCTTCGGTTCTCGTAGCAATCTGCCTCCTAGTAGCGCCTCCGCCCGCAACGAGCGCAGACTGGCGCTCCTGGGCACTCCCGTCGCATATGATCGCGGCTCCTGCACAACGAACACGCCGCCAGGTTATGACAATCCCTTCGTAGGTGCCCTGGTAGCCCGCAGTTGTGGAAGCGTTGAGCTTCCTCTCTCCCTCTATCTTCCAGTTCCGGGTATGCGGAAGTCGTTGCCAACGCCGGCCGCCTTCTCTCTGGTCCTCTATCCACTATGCGCTCCACCTCATAGAGCCGACGCCCGGTTTCCAAGCGTTTGATGATCTCGTACGCATCCTTCAGCATGGCTTCTGGCCCCAGCTCAAACACGTGCACCTGTACCTCCTGTTGCATGGGCTGGCTTAGCCCGTGAATGAACTTTCCGATCAGCTGTCCCTGGTCCTGGAAGTTCATATCTGTAAAACTCATATTATATAGATTGTGTAGGCTATAGTGGGGTAGACACTATGGGGTACAGTTTCCTAGGGTTTCCTACTTGTACCCAACTTTGTGCTAGTTCATTCATTCCTCATTCTTCACATGGTATAGAGCAGGTTCCCTAGTGGGAACGCTTCCTTGGGCCCACCACTGAAAACTTCCTTTCTGACCGGAGCGCCAGTCGCTCCTGCCCGAGGCGCGCCTTTTTGCCGCCCTTTCCAGGCCCCTAGTGGCCCCGAGCGGCCTCGTCGCCGCCCCCAAGCGGCCCTGTTACCGCCCCTACGCGGCCCCGTCGCCGCCCTTAGCGGCCCCGTCGCCGCCCCTAGCGGCCCCGTCGCCGCCTCTCACCCTACGCGGCCTCGTCGCCGCCTCTCACCCTACGCGGCCCCGTCGCCGCCCCTACGCGGCCCTGTCGCCGCCCCTCCACGGCCCCGTCGCCGCCCTTAGCGGCCCCGTCGCTGCCCCTAGCGGCCCCGTCATCGCCTCTCACCCTACGCGGCCCCGTCGCCGCCCCTACGCGGCCCCGTCGCCGCCCCTAGCGGCCACGTCGCCGCCCCTATCGGCCCCGTCGCCGCCTCTCACCCTACGCGGCCCCGTCGCCGCCCATACGCGGCACCGTCGCCGCCCCTAGCGGCCTCGTCGCTGCCCCCTAGCGGCCCCGTCGCTGCCCCTAAGCGGCCCCGTCGCCGACCCTAAGCGGCCCCGTTGCCGCCCCTACGCAGCCCTGTCGCTGCCTCTAAGCGGCCGTGTCGCCGCCACTACACGGCCCCGTCGCCGCTCCCCTCTCTAAGCGGCCCCGTCGCCGCCCCTAACGGCCCCAACGCCGCCCCTACCAAGCAGCCCAGCAGTAGAGCCGCCGAGCCGCCCAACAGCCGAGCCGCCCAGCAGCCGAGCCACCGAGCCGCCCAGCAGCCGAGCCGCCGAGCCGCTCAGTGGCCGAACCGCCGAGCCGCCCAGCAGCCGAGCCGCCCAGCAGTCGAGCCGCCCAGCAGCCGAGCCACTTAGCAGCCGAGCCGCCCTGCCGTCGAGCCGCTCCTCGTCCTACCGGCGCGCCCATGCCCTACTTACTTCGACTGGTGAGCTCACTCCTTGCTAGGCCACTGCAGTCATGGCTACCCCCAGTGTTCTTACCTTTGATACTAAGGGTCGTGCTGTTGACTTTGAGGTCTAGGTCGATGACCTCCAGCTGTTCCTCCAGTGCAATAGGGCAGACGGCCTCTCCCTGTTCGACCTCACCTCTGTTGCCTCCCCTGCCCCGCCTGCCACTGCTGACAGCACTGTTCGCTCACAATGGGCCACACGCGATGCTGCTGCCCGTCTTGCTGTGCGTCGCCACTTACCGACCACTAAGCGTGCGCACTTTAGCCAGTACAAGAGAGCTCAGACCTTGTACGACGCTGTAGTTGCACGCTACTCTTCCCTGTCACTGCTGCACTGAGCCGCCTCATGCTACCGTACCTCTTCCCTGACCTTGCTGTCTTTCCCACAGTCGCTGACCTCATTACGCACCTCCACACTAGTGACACTCGCTACTGCGCTGCACTTCCCACTGAGTTGTGCGCCAAGAGCCCCCCCCCCCCATGTACATCACCCTCTACTACATAGTCACACGGCTCCCTGACTCTCTTCGCTTAGTCAGGGACCACTTCCTCTCAGTTTGCCCGACCACACTCACCGTTGACCTCCTCGAGGAGCGCCTCCTAGCAGCAGAGAAGAGCATAGTCGCTGTAGGAGCCTCTCGTGGTGACCCTCGCACCCCCGTCTTTGAGGGGTGTTCCCCCTCCCCCCTCTTGCCCTCTGTTGCTTCTGCTGCTGCTGCCGACCTCGTTGGTTTCTACGAGGTCGGCGCTGCGTCCGCCCCTAGCGGGAGACGCCGCACCGGCAAGGGCAAGGGGGGCAAGGGAGCTGGAGGGGCTAGCGGGGGTGGTGGAGGTGGTGGTGGTGGCAGTGGAGGGGGTAGGGGTGGTGGTGGGAGTGGTGGCGGGGGTGGCGGCGGCGGTGGCAGCAGTGGAGGTGGAGGAGGCGGCGGTGGTGGCGGAGGGAGCGGAGGCGGCGGAGGTGGCGGAGGTGGCGGAGGCGGCGGAGGCGGCGGCGGAGGCGGCGGTGGAGCTGGTCGCGACTCTGTGCACAGGAGTGGGTCCGGTGGTGGTCCGCGCCAGCACCAGCAGCGCGGTCGTGAGACCCTGTCCCCTCAGCAGCTTCGTGAGTGGTACGCTGCGCGGTGGGGGTACTGGTCCCTGCACTTACGTCCTCCGTACCGGCGACCGCGCTGGTGAGTAGTGCGGGGGCCCGCACTCCACCCAGCGCTGCTTCGGCCGCTTGACGGACGCGTGGCGTCACCAGTTCCCTGAGGCGTCAGAGATCCCTCGCTGGGGAGATCTGTCTAGGGCGGGGGTTGCCATCTTTGATCTTGACTATGATGCTATCCTTGCTGCCATGTATGCTGTGACTGTCAACGGGAGCGTTGTAAGGCCCCGTCCTCGCTTGGGCGGAGCCAACCTTGTGGTCGGATGTGCGGGGGCTGCAACCGACCTGCAGCAGTGGGCACGGGGGCCACTGCAAGGGCGCCCAGCTGGAGGGCGCCTGATTGGAGGGCGCCGAGCAGGAGGACGCCGCCCTGGACGCCTGGTTGGTGTCCCGGACGCCTGGACGGCGTCCTGGGAAGCTAGACGCCGAGCTGGGCGTCGCCACGACTACCCGGGCGCCTGGTCGACGTCGTGGGCGCCTGCACGGCCTTCTGGAAGGACAGACGCCGACCTAGGCGTCTGCACGGCGCCCTGGGGTCCAGACGCCGACCTGGGCGTCTCAGGGGGCCCACACACCGACCTGGGCGTCTGGTCGGCGTCCTGGGAGGAGGGACGCCGACCTGGAGGTTCGGAAGGTGTCATGGGCGCCTGGACGCCGGACTGGGGACGCCGGGCATGCGTGGCCGGCTACGGACTGCGCTGGTCGGCCAGGCGTCGTTGCCCGGTCGACCGGGATACCCGGGCGACGTGCGCAAGTGTCGCCAAGGTGGAGTCTGCGATGCTGACCTCGGAGGTGGTATCCCGAGGTCGACGTGGCTGGTGGGCGCAGTCACTGGCGTGGAATCTGCCAGGCGTCTGCGCTGTGCTCGTGACAAGGTGTGGAGCGCCAACCAGCTGCGCGCACCTGCGAAGCACGTGTACCGTTGTCGTGCGGGTGCAACGCTGTGCAGCCGACTTGGTGCAGCGCTGGCACACCGTGGACTTGCAACGTTGGCGAACCGCTACTCTGCAACGCTGGAGCGGTGCGAGCGCTGCTGCGCTGGAGCGCGGTCGACCGTGCTGTGCTGGAGGTCGACCAGCAGCCTAGCTAGCACTGATGTAGTCTGTGATGCCAATGTTGTTGCTATCATTGTTGTCATGTTTTCCTAGTGAAACTCTTGCCATTTCTCCCCGTGAACTAGCAAGCAGCGTGAACACAAGGAAACGACTAAGTGAATGAATGCAGAGATCAAACAAGCACACATGCCTAGCCCATAGCCTAGCTTCCGTTGCAGCAGTTATCTCCGCATGGTGCGGTGAGCGTGGACTACACCGCGACGTAGTTTAGTCTAGCCGACTTCGCACTTACCGATAGTGTTCGTAGACCGGCAGCCGTGCAGTCACTAGCGTGCGCGTAGGCGACGCCGAGGTGATGGACACACTCGAGGGACGGGTGGAGGATGCGAGGAGACGCCATGAGGCACAGGAGTACGGGGCGATACCCTGGGCAGTCGTTGAGGCAGGACTCCGCTCCATGTGGGCGATGGAACATCCCTCTTCACGACCAGCTTCTCTTCGACCGGTGACCAACGAAGGCGGCGTCGACGTGGGCGTCAACGCCGGAGGTGGCCAAGTCGGCAGCAGTGCGGGAGACACGTCGAGGCAGCGAGGTGTGATACACTCCGGTGAAGCCAGCGGCGTTCAGGCGCGAGGGATGCAGTCGTCGGCGGCTGCAGGCTCCTCGCAGGGCGACGCCGGTGGGCGTCGAAGTGGTTTGTCGCCGATGTCGGCGACCCAGGTGACAACGGGTGGGATCGCACCGAGCTACGGCTACTTCAAGTTTACGCCGGACAGGATCTTGGTCACCCCGCCACTCGTTGGTCGACAAGACATCCTCACCTGGAAGGAAGCCATCGAGCCCCAGCTGGAGATGGCCGGGCTGATCGGCTTTGCTCGAGGGACCGTGGCGACACCGGGGGAGCACCACCCCGACCTGCGTGCAGAGTTTCGCGCCGTGCAGTTGTTGACCTTCACGGTCATCTCGCGGTGCTGCTCGCCGGGCGTGTAGATTGCCTTGAAGTGGTGCCGAGAGTACCTCGACGCCGGCCACCGGGCGTGGAACTTCATCGAGTCGACCTATCAAGTCACCGACGACTTGTTCATCGCTCAGATAGAGGGACAGCTGACGCATCTGAGCATGGGCGACGAGGAGACGGCGACCGGCTACTGCAACCGGGCCCGGCGAATTCTCGCCACCATCAGGATGGCCGGCGCGCAGTACTCGACAGCGTCGTACGTCACCCACGACATGCAGGGACTCTCGAGCAGCTACAACCTGCTAAAGCGGCTGTCCATGGCGCCGAGCACGACGGCGACTCTCAACGAGGACAACTTGACCTCGTATATCCTGCAGGACGAGGCGATGCATGAGGCCGAGCGATCCCAGGAGCTCTTGGCGCAGGCCAACTTCGTCGCCCCGACGTAGCAAGGAGGCCGACCAGGGCAGCGTGGGCAGTCGGGCGGTGGCGGTAGCAGTGGCTGGAAGCCGAGCAAGGACGCCGACAAGAAGATGTCGGCCAAAGACAGCAGTCGAGGAGGAGGAGGTTGACGACGGGAGTGCTGGCTGTGCGGCGACCCCGACCACCTCTCCTACAAGTGCCCCGACCGCAGTGACTCCGACGACGACGACGCCAAGGGAGGCCGCGGGAGGTCTGGCAGTCATCGCCCTCGTCGAGGAGGAAACAAGCCGCGCAAGGAGAAGCAGTCGACAACGTCGACCTCGGCGAAGGACGCCGACTCCTCTGCAGGCGGCAAGGGGCGGGACGACAAGACGGCGTCGTGCTCGCTGGTCGGCATCGTGGAGCCGACCGTCTCGCTGGCGCCAGAGGCCGGGGAGGAATTCAAGGCGGTGGCGGCAGCTGTGCAGGCGAACCCAGCGGTGGTCCTGCTCGACAGCGGTTGCTCCCACCACCTGATGGGGACGAAGGAAGTCTTCGTCGACCTGCAGCCGAGCAGCTCCATCAAGCACGTTTGCGGCTTCAATGGGGCACTGCAGAACGTCCAGGGCCGCGGCACCGTCGCTTTGCAAGGGGAGGCCGGGAAGCAGGTGCTCATCCCCGACGTGCTGTACGTCCCGGGTGTGCGGGCAAACTTGCTTTCAGCCGGCCAGCTGAAGGAGCACGGCGTGAAGCTGCAGGAGGACGGCGACGGGATGCTGCTCGTCTTGGCAGCAGGGGAGGTGCTCGGTCAGGCGACGTACACCGGGCGTGTCCTCTGCACCGATCTGCGCCCCTGCTCGGCCACGCCGACAAAGCCTACCACGGAGGTAGTGGCCTTGCGCGCGATCGTCTCGGCGACGAAGGCATCTCCGGACAGGATGCACACAAGGCTTGCGCACGTCGGCATGGACACCATCAGGAACTCGGCGAAGAACGAGGTCGCCATTGGGCTGGACCTCAAGTCGGCGACGGGCGCCGACTCACCGTGTGTCTCGTGCGTCGGCGAGAAGCTGGCGCGGCACACTTTCCCTGACCAAGGCTCCGACGCCGACGACGTGCTAGCCGTCGTGCACATCGACTTGTGCGGGCCGTTCCGCGTGACTGCCAAGGATGGCAGCCTGTACTTCTTGCTGCTGAAGGACCGCAAGACCCGCTACGTGTGGGTGAAGCCGGTCGCCAAGAAGTCAGATGCGTTGCCGGTGTTCGTGCAGTGGCTGGCGGTGGCTGAGCGGCAGACAAGGAAGTCGGTATTGATGCTGCGCTCTGACCGAGGAGGGGAGTTCCTCGGGAAGCAGTTCACCAACTTTGTGAACGGCAAGGGGATCGTCCACGATCTGACCTGCCTATACACCCCGCAGCAGAACGGCATGGCGGAGCGGGAGATGAGGATGGTGGTGGAGTCGGTGCGGACGATGCTGCTGCACATGGGCTTGCAGCACCACTGGTGGCACCTCGCTCTCCGACAGGCCGTCTGGGTCCGCAACTGCCTTGAGAGGTCGGCGCTGCCGCCGGGGACAACGCCGTACCAACTGCTGACCGGGAAGAAGCCCGACTTGTCGCTGGCGCGGGTGTGGGGCTGCATGGCGCAGTTCTTGGTCCCTGAGCAGTAGCGTGGAGGCAAGCTGCAGCCCAAGGCTCGGTGGGGCCTTCACCTCGGCGTGTCGGCGGAGAGCAAGGGCTGGGAGCTCCTCGACATTGCCGACAACCGGGTTGTCACCACGTCGGACGTGGTGTTCTACGAGAGCATGTCGCTGGAGGTGTGGAAGTCAGCGCACGGGCCGGCGTCAGGGCGGATGCCGGTTCCCCCGCCAACGGACACCTCGACGACGACCCCGTCTCTACTTGCCGAGGTCGGTGAGGTTGCTGGTGAGGACGCCGAGGACATCCCCGCTCCTTGCACTCCACCTGCCCCTCCCCTTGTTGCCGACTTGCATGGGCTGACCTTGCTGTCAGCCTCCGGCGATGAGGGGAGACGGGGTGCGTCACCTGTGGCGCCGGTCCCAAGCATCGCCGGTGGCCAACGTGCTGCTGTGCAAGGCGGCACGGGAGCGAAGCTGACGCCGACCGGGAGGCAGCAGGTGGTGCAGCCAACTTCGGTGAAGGAGACGTCTGCAGAACAGCAGCTGACCAAGGAGCACGCAGCAGCGACGCCGATCAAGGAGCAGTTGGCGACCGGGTCGTCGGCAGGGGAGCCGACCACATGGGAGAAGTCGGCTGGGACGCCGACCACAGTGGAGCAGTCGGCTGCGACGCCGGCTGAGGAGCAGCAGGATGCCGAGGGCAGCGACGACAAAGACGATGGAGGGGACGCCGAGGAGGTCCAGCCAGAACCACGGCGTTCAGGCCGACTTCGGAGGCCGCCTGACTTCTTCGTCCCCGCTGCCTTCACCACGGTGTACGACGTGGACGATGAGGCCGACGACCTGCTGTACGACGACGCCGAGGAGGATGAGGAGTTTCCAGAGCTCGACCCCGATATGCTAGCTGACCCCGAGCACCGTTGGGACATCTCGACGATGTCGGTGAAGGAGGCGTTGGCGAGCTGGAAGGGCCTGGCGGTGAAGGCCGCCATGGAGGAGGAGATTCGCAGCCTCCTCAACATGGGAACGTGGGAGCTGGTCAAACGCCCGCTGGGAGTGAACATCATGAAGAACCGGTGGGTGTTGACGACAAAGTACCACATCGACGACACCGTCGAGCGAGAGAAGGCGAGGCTAGTCGTGAAGGGCTTCACGCAGGTGTACGGCGCCGACTACGACGAGACGTTCGCGCCGTTGGGCAGCTACGTCACGCTGAGGATCTTCCTCAGCATCGTCGCCGTCCTCAACCTCAACCTGATGCAGCTCGACATGAAGAACGCCTTCCTGCAGAGCAAGCTCGACCGGGTGCTGTACATGCACCAGCCTGACTACTTCAACGATGGATCCGGCCGGGTGTGCAGGCTGCTGAAGAGCCTCTATGGGCTGAAGCAGTCTCCGCTGCTGTGGTACTTGGCGCTCAACGATGTGCTGGTCGGCGCCGGGTGGAAGAAGAGCCAGGTCGACGAGGCTCTTTACTTCAAGGTCGGCGAGGACGGAGTGGCCTGCTGGGTGCTGGTCTACGTTGACGACCTGCTTGCCGCCAGCAGCAGCGCCGCGATGCTGAAGGAGCTGAAGGAGCTGCTGGAAGCCACCTTCGAGCTGCGCGAGATCTCGCCGGTGCAAACGTACCTTGAGCTGGAGATCGTGCGTGACAGGTCGGCGGGGAAGCTGTGGCTGCACCAGCAGGGCTACGTCGACAAGCTGCGTAGGCGTTTCATCGACGAGGAGCAGACCGGGCGCACCCCGAAGACGCCGGTCTCGGTCGACGCCTACGCCGAGCTCACCTTCGACGACGAGGAGGCACAGGAACGGCAGGAGGAGGAGTACCGGCAGAAGGTCGGCTCATTGTAGTTAGCGGCGACGACGACGAGGCCGGACATCGCCTTCGCCTGCAGCAAGCTGGGGAGCGGCCTCACGGTGAGGAGCGACGAGCACTGGCGCGAGGTAGACCGTTGCCTTGCCTACCTCGCCAACACACGTGACACCACCCTGGAGTTCGGCGGTGGACCTGAGTCGCTGGAGCTGGTCGGCTACGTGGACGCCGACGACGCCGGTGACAAGCAGAACATGACGAGCACGGGTGGCTATGTGTTCGTCTACGGTGGGGCCGCTGTCTCCTGGTCGAGCCAGCGCATCAAGTGTGCGACGCTGTCGTCGACCGAGTCGGAGTACGTGGCGGCCACTGAAGTTGGCAAGGAGGGACGCCGCCTTCGCTTCCTCCTCGCCGAGTTCCGACAGCTGGACGCTGGGAAGCCGACTGTCGTGCGCGTGGACAACAAGTTGGCCATCACGGTCGCCGAGGGCATGGGGTTGACAAGCATTGAGCGGCGACAGGCCTGGCTGCAGCACATGGTGAAGCGTGGGAAGTTCTCGCTGCAGTACATCCCGACCGCTGAGCAGCCAGCCGACTTCCTGACGAAGGCGCTGCAATATCCGGCCTTCAACCGGTGCTCCGTCGCAAACGGCCAGGTGCGCTTGGCAGACGTGGGCGACGGCGACAACGACGTGCAGCAGTAGGTGCCATGCCCTCTTGCATGGCTGGTGCAGTGACCGGCGTGCTGTGTGTTGGGTGCACGCCGACGGGCTATTCTCGGAGCTGTACTGCCGTGTGGGCTGGGGCCAAGCGTGAACGCGGCAGGGGAGTGTAAACGGGAGTGTTGTAAGGCCCCGTCCTTGCTTGGGCGGAGCCAACCTTGTGGTTGGATGTGCGTAGGTTGTAGCCGACCTGCACCAGTGGGCACGGGGGCCACTGCAAGGGCGCCTTGCTGGAGGGCGCCTGATTGGAGGGCGCCGAGCAGGAGGACGCCGCCCTGGACGCCTGGTTGGCGTCCCGGACGCCTGGACGGCGTCCTGGGAAGCTGGACGCCGAGCTGGGCGTCGCCACGACTACCCGGGCGCCTGGTCGACGTCGTGGGCGCCTGCACGGCCTTCTGGAAGGACAGACGCCGACCTAGGCGTCTGCACGGGGCCCTAGGGTCCGGACGCCGACCTGGGCGTCCCGGGGGGCCCACACACCGACCTGGGCGTCTGGTCGGCGTCCTGGGAGGAGGGACGCCGACCTGGAGGTTCGGAAGGTGTCCTGGGCGCCTGGACGCCGGACTGGGGACGCCGGGCATGCGTGGCCGGCTACGGACTGCGCTAGTCGGCCAGGCGTGGTTGCCTGGTCGACTGGGATACCCGGGCGACGTGCGCAAGTGTCGCCAGGGTGGAGTCTACGATGCCGACCTCGGGGGTGGTATCCCGAGGTCGATGTGGCTGGTGGGCGCAGTCACTGGTGTGGAATCTGCCAGGCGTCTGCGCTGTGCTCGTGACAAGGTGTGGAGCGCCAACCAGCTGCGCGCACCTGCGAAGCTAGTGCACCGTTGTCCTGCGGGTGCAACGCTGTGCAGCCGACTTGGTGCAGCGCTGGCACACCGTGGACTTGCAACGTTGGCGAACCGCTACTCTGCAACGCTGGAGCGGTGCGAGCGCTGCTGCGCTGGAGCGCGGTCGACCGTGCTGTGCTGGAGGTCGACCAGCAGCCTAGCTAGCACTGATGTAGTCTGTGATGCCAATGTTGTTGCTATCATTGTTGTCATGTTTTCCTAGTGAAACTCTTGCCATTTCTCCCCGTGAACTAGCAAGCAGCGTGAACACAAGGAAACGACTAAGTGAATGAACGCAGAGATCACACGAGCACACGTGCCTAGCCCATAGCCTAGCTTCCGTTGCAGCAGTTATCTCCGCAGTGACTGCTAGTGTTCAGGGTGACTCTTACCTGTGTGTACCGCCTGACCCGGGCATTGAGGCTATTGCTCTAGGTGCTGGTGAGGCTGCTGCTCTAGGTGCTAGTGCATCTGCTGCCCCAGGTGCTAGTGCGTCTACTGCCCCAGGTGCTGGTAAGTGTGCTGTCTCAGGTACTACGTCGGCTCAGGCCTTATACACCTTCACCCTTGACTCGGATGCTTCCCGCTCCTTCTTTCGAGACTGCACCACGCTTACGCCGCTTAGTCGGCCGGTTGCAGTCTCCCTGGCGGACCCCTCTGGGGGTCCTGTCCTTGCTAGCTTCTCCACTGTCTTACCGTGCCCGGCAGCCCCCTCTGGCACCCTGTCAGGTCTCTACCTCCCCTCATTCTCTACGAACTTGGTGAGTGGAGCGGACCTACAGGATAGGGGGGATGACCACTTCACTCCTGCGAGTCAGCGGGTGACCCACTGCACGTGTGCTCGGACAGGCCGACACTTGGCCACGTTCACCCGTCGGCCGGGGTCAAGCCTGTACACCCTCACTACTGAGTCTCCTCCGGCTGCTGAGTCTGGCTAGGTAGTTGCGTCGAGTCAGGTGTTTGCTGCAGTGTCCAGGTCTGGTCTTGAGTCTGCTCCCTGCTCGTGTCGTCTCCTGTCCCACCAGACTCTCCTTTGGCACCACCGCCTTGGTCACCCCTCCCTGCCTCGTCTCTGAGGCATGGCCTCCCGTGTCCTTGTCTCTGGTCTCCCCCGGTCCCTCCCTCCCCTACCTCCGGAGCCTGGCCCTACCTGCGTCCCCTGTGTCGAGGGGCGACAGCGCGCCGCCCCTCACTCATCCGAGTTTCCTCCGACAGAGGCTCCGCTGCATACTCTCCACATGGACGTGTAGGGCCCCACCCGCGTCCGTGGACAGGGGCACGAGCGTTACTTCCTGTTGGTGGTTGACGACTACTCTCGTTACACCACAGTCTTCCCCTTGCGCAGCAAGGGTGACGTCACTGAGGTGTTGATCGACTGGATCCGCGCAGCTCGTCTCCAGCTTAGGGAGAGTTTCGGCTCGGACTTTCCTGTTCTGCGTCTGCACTCTGACAGAGGCGGGGAGTTTTCCTCTGCCCGTCTGGGAGCCTTCTGTCGTGCACATGGCATCCGCCAGACCTTCACGCTTCCGGCCTCTCCACAGCAAAATGGGATTGCTGAGCGCCGCATTGGCATGGTCATGGACGTCGCTCCTACGTCCATGATGCATGCGGCTGCCCCCCATTTTCAATGGCCGTTTGCGGTTCACTACGCCGCGCATCAGCTCAACCTTCAGCCCCGGGTCTTCTTGCCAGAGACCTCCCCAACCTTACGGTGGACGGGGAAGGTTGGCGATGCGTCTGCGTTCCAGGTCTGGGGATCTCGGGCGTTTGTACGCGACTTGTCTGCGGACAAGCTGTCCCCCCTTGCTGTTCCCTGCGTCTTCCTTGGCTTCCCCCCTGACGCGCCTGGTTGGCAGTTTTACCACCCCACCTCGCGCCATGTTCTGTCCTCCCAGGACGTCACCTTTGACGTGTCGGTACCTTACTACCGTCTCTTCCCCTACTGCACTGCGCCCCTTCCCCCGCCCCCGCTCTTCCTTGCGCCAGGTCCTCCCCCGGTAGACCCCCTCCCCCCTCAGGGTCCTACCCTGTCAGGTGTGTCCCAGGTAGACGCAGTCGAGCCTGTCGAGGTAGCTGTTGACTCTGGTGCTGTTAGAGTTGCTGAGCTTGCGGGTGCCGGGACTGGAGGTGCTGAGTCTGGGGGTGCTGAGCCTGGGGTTGCTGAGTCTAGGGGTGCTCAGTCTCGGGGTGCTGAGCCTAGGGGTGCTGAATCTGGAGGTGCTGAGCCTGGGGGTGCGGAGCCTGGGGTTGCGGAGCCTGGGGGTGCGGAGCCTGGGGGCGCTGGGTCTGCTCGTGTGGCCGCCGTGGGTGCTTCGTCGCGGCGGGAGCAACCCTCTCCACAGGAGCTGCGCGAGTGGTTTGCCCGGCGCTGGAGCCGTGCTGCTGGAGCTGGAGGTACTATTGTTGGTGCTGGTCCCGGAGGTGCTCGTCCTGGCGGTACTGGAGCTGCTGGGACTGGGGGTGCTGTTGGGGCTGCTGGAGTTGATGGTGCTGGAGCTGCTGGAGCTGGAGCTGCTGGGGGTGTTGGCGCTGGTGTTTCTGCTGGCGCTGGTGCGTCTGAGGGTGCTGGAGTTGGCGCTGTTGGAGGTGGAGGTGCTGCTGGCGCTGGTGCTACCACTGGGGGTACTGGTGCTATCCCTGCTGGTTCTAGAGGCGTTGCGCGGCCGCGGCCGTACTTCGTTCCGCTCCTTGAGCAGGTTGATGGTCTCCTGCCCTCTACTCGTCCTGCTCCTCCCTTGGAGTGTCCGCAGCCTGTCCAGTCGCAGTCACAGTTACAGCCCGCCTCCCCACTACCTGCTCCTTCTCCCTACACTGGTCCTACTGGAGGTCTTGCTGAGCGTCGTGAGCCTGCGTCTTGTCCTGCGTCGCCTGTTCGTGCTGCTCGCACTAGTGGTGGTGCTTCGCGTCCGCGTCCTCCTCCGGTCTCAGGCACACACCAGATGGCACTGCGTCCTTCCACTGCTCCTCTGCGTGTCCCGTTGCCGTCTCCTCCAGAGTCCTCTCTTCCTCTTCTTGCTGACCCTGAGTCTGACTCTCTTCGTGCTGCCAGTCCTACTGTCACGCGTCTCCTGGCTACTGTTGTCACTGACCCTTCCTTTGAGTCCACTACTACGTCTGCCCTAGTTGCTGAGCTTGTCGACTTCGCGGCTCGTTGTCGTCTAGACTGCACTGCTAGTCTTGTTGCTGAGTCTGAGTCTGTCTGTCCTCCGTCCGTCGGGGGTGAGTGTGCTTTTAGCACGGACGTCCTTGAGGACAAGCAAGAGGAGTTCCAGTGTCTTGCTGCTGCTTTGCCTCATCTCGTGTCCTCGCTGATTGCCCCTGAGGGAGACCCGGATGCACCAGACATCCCGACTCCTCGATCGTACGCTGAGGCGATCAAGGGTCCCTACTCCTCTCAGTGGCAGTCAGCCATGGACGCAGAGATGGCTTCCTGGAAGTCCACAGGCACCTACGTCGACGAGGTTCCCCCACCTGGGGCGAACATCGTCAGTGGCATGTGGATTTTCAGGGTGAAGCGGCCGCCGGGTTCTCCGCCTGTCTTCAAGGCGCGTTACGTGGCTCGAGGCTTCAGTCAGCGGCAGGGAGTTGACTACTTTCAGACCTTCTCTCCCACCCCGAAGATGACCACTCTTTGGGTGCTGCTGCACATAGCCGCTCAGCGCGACTAAGAGCTTCACTCTCTTGACTTCAGCACAGCTTTCCTGCAGGGTAGCCTGCACAAAGAGATCTGGCTGCGCCGCCCACCTGGCTTCACTGGGTCATTTCCTCCTCGTACCCAGTGGAGCCTCCGGCGGCCAGTCTACGGTCTCCGCCAGGCGCCCCGTGAGTGGCACGACACACTGAGGACTACACTTGCAGCTCTTGGGTTTGCTCCTTCTACAGCTGACCCGTCGCTGTTTCTACGCGCCGACACCTCTTTGCCGCCGTTCTACATCCTCGTGTACGTGGACGACTTGGTCTTTGCCACTGCTGACACTGTTGGACTCGCCCACGTGAAGTCCGAGCTGCAGAAGAGACACACGTGCACAGACCTGGGTGAACTGCGCAGCTACCTTGGCTTGCAAATCACCCGGGATAGAGCACAGCGCACCATTACCCTGACTCAGTCACACATGGTGCAGCAGGTCCTTCAGTGCTTCGACTTCACGTACT